TTATCAGCCCGTCTTGAGCATCCGAGATCATCGTGTACGAGTACCCCAAGTTGGTTTTCATGAGAAGCGCGCTTCAGAACGTGTTCTGCCAATCAATATTCGTAGGTGCTCTGGGGACATATGCTCACTATTTTGAACTTGACTTGATTCAACTCAAGCATGTTTTGCGCCGACCATTCGTAAGCGCTGTGGAGATCACCTAGCAATGTTATGTTGTCCACTCGCTTGTTTGCCCACCAAATCTTGAGATCATCCGTGAAGAGTATAAAGTTCGACTTCAGCGCGAGATCGTTTTTTGTAGTCTAGGTATAGCTACGGTTCTAGTGCCGAGCATTTAGGGACGCCACAGTGAAACTCTATCGAACCGAACAGGATACTACGAATCCGCACATTCAGGCGTTGGCGGAGTAGGATTGAATGGATCCATCCTTGGATAAGATCACCGATCCCATATCTCCTTAGATCGTAAAGAAGAACGCGATGACCTACACGATCAAATGCTTTCTAGAAATTAAGGTATGCGGCGTCGAATCCTTCCCCAGCGTCGACAAATTTCCTCTAGCTGACACGTGCTAACAAAAACTTCTAGTACATGAACGGTTTTGGCGGAATCCATGTTGCTCCTGCAAGATAATATTGTACCTTTCTAAATGTCCCACGACTGCAACTGTAACGACAGATTCCATGACTTAAACATCATCATCATCATCATTATCCTAACCGTTAGCTGCAAGTGGAGAACACCTCAGCTATTGTACCGCAATACAAAAAAAGAAAAAACATGCAACAGGGGCACGCTGGCTGAGTCATCGGTAACGGATGGACATCGTTCTGGAGAGCTAACAACCGGCTATTGTGCCGCAAAGAGTTATATTCTACCTACTAAATGAGATCGTGTTTGGAGGGGAAGGCTAAGCGGGAGTGAGAGGACAAAGAAACTCACAACAAGAACTTCATTGTGGTCGGCTCCTAGCCATGTCAACAAGTGTATCCAACCAAACATGTTCATCCTCCTTCGGCTACCAACCAGGTCAACTTCAAATTAAACGCTTTCACTCCTCTTGACGAAGTCATCAATTGGCCACCTCTCTTCCATTCTCACCCCCGGCGCATAAACAGCACACGTCCCAGGAGTCGGCGCGCTGGCATGCGTAGCACATGGCCAAACCATCGGAGCCTGGTGCGTGAAATAACGGTGCTGAGCGGGTCGCTTCATCTTCCTGTGCCATAGACAAGGCATCGAACACGCTCATTGTTCTCACGGTGTCGCCACCAGATATGAGCCAAACTGCGAAGGTACCGGTGGTCCAACGTAACTAGCCTCTTTATATCTGATGATCTAATGAGCTAGGTTTCACAACCGTACAGTATGGTCGAAGGTACTGCTGCATTGTGCACTCTATCCTTTAAAGAGAAAGTGATGGCGCGCCGGCATCACAGACGGCGAAGATTAGTAAAAGCGTCCCGAGCTTTTATACGCTTTGTGACCTCGTCTTCAATTCACAGTGCTGATACAACTGCTTAGGTAGTTTAATGACTTCCAAGTGATCCCCACCGGGAGTCAGTGCAGCAGGCGGTCTCTTGCAGGAAAGCTTTACACTTCGAGGGTGCAAAGCAAAACCCGAAACGGTTAACAGCCAGTGCTAATCTGTCCAGAGCCGCTTGGCACGTTTGTGATCTGTCGCAGATGAGGGCATACTCACTTGGGAGCAGCTCCACACCTTACTCCTGTCCTGTGAACGCGATTTACGTGACTTTGTCAATAGCGAAGTTGAAGAAGAAGGCTGACAGCCAGCAGCCTTATCACACCACTGGAGATATTGAAAGGCGGTGATAGCTTGCCGTAAGCCGTCACTCTGCTTGAGCTACTCGCATAAAGCGCTCGCATAATATTCACATACTTCTCGGATATACCTTACCTTGGCAGACAGTCCCAGAGCACATCCATCCAAAGAATCGAAGGCACCTTTGATACCGAGGAACACGAGAACGGTGGACTGCCAATATATGTGACGGTGCTCCAACTGACTCAATGTAAGTATGTGGTCGATGCCTCTCTGATCTCGACGAAACCCGGCTTGCTCCTCACCAATCTGGCTTTTACGAGTGCAACTCACTTTGTTGTAAGCAATTTGGAGGCGATGGGGATCAGATTGATTATTCTATGGTTGCGGCATTCCGAACGCGAACCTGCTTTGAATATCTGGACAATAACGGAGCGGCACTAGTCGGTTTGGACAGTCACCTGCTTCCACAGTTTCATTAGTAATTCGTGTACATCCTCAACAAGAGCAGGTCCCCCGAATTTGAAGGGTGCCGGCGGAAGATCATCTGGTCCCGCGGTTGAATTCAACTTCAGCAATCTGATCTCACGTTCGACTTCTGAGCGAGAGGGCGGATCCAAAGGGATAGCCCCGGGGACCAAGTCGATCATTGGCCGGTGAAAAATCTAACAATTCCGGTCGAACAAATTGCTTTTCAAAATTCTCAGCCCAATGCTCTAAGCGCTTTGACAAGTTGTGGATAGGCTGTCCACTCTCTCCACGTATAGTTACACTAACACCAGGTCTCCTGCTGCCCGTTTCTCGTAACAAACGGAATGACTTCCGATGGTTACCAAGGGGAGCTGCCACTTCCATCTCTGATGCCCGACGAGACCACCAGGATTCGCGGTTTCTCTTCAGGCTAGCACGGAGTTTTGCCCGGAGCTCTTTGCGAGTTTCATTGTGTTCGCTTCCAGCCGGAATGCACCGGTGAGCATCGATAAGTTCCAGAGACCGCGAAGAGATCTAATGTTCATATTGACTAGTAGACTTACCACATGAGGATTTGCTTGCTGCTAGTATGGTCTGGTGAACATGCGACCAGTGAACTTCGATTGTATTCATTGAGCGCTTACTCAGCTTACTCGATACATATACAGAACAGCTCTGTTCGCCAGTTGGCTCGTGTCAATTCCCTCACAGGGTCGTCATGTGTGTCTGCAAAAAAGCACCTGCAGATCAGTACATACAAGTTCATGGCCAGTGGCTACACATGTGCTCCGAATCGAGAGACAGTTCTTGACGCAGTCTCTCCAGCGATAACTGATCCCCGTGTGGTCAATTTGCGTCCAAGGCTGGTGAGTGCCATGTCACCTTCCGACAAGTGCTGTGTCCGAAGTTAGTGATCGCAAGAAATAAGCAAGCATCTTCATATAAATGAAGTAATCGCTGAATACGGGAGTCCACAGCGCGTTGACCGCCCAGATGCAGGTCATCAATGGACTATCTTCCAACTTGAGCGTTCAGATATCCAGCCAGTGCTACCCTGTGCGTGCTTTTTCTGTGGTGAAGAGGCTCGTTCGGTTGGCAATAAAAGTTTTTTTTTACAGGATCGTCGCTACCGTTTCTGCTGGCGTATGCAGCGATGATGAATGGACACATATTAGCATCGCGTGACTTCGGAGCTCCGAACTGTCCACACATCTAGCCACTGGTTCGAATCCATTTAACCAGCGCAGCTTCAGCCCGGTGATTCAGGTCAATATTAACGCCGGCTTGGCCGGTACTCGCAGCTGCATCGTCTCCGGATAGGTGCAGTGAGAAAGCACTGCTGTTGTCACCTGATAGGAATCACAAAGTGAGCACAGAGCACTAGTTTTGCAGGCTGGTTTCCGATAGGCATTAGATATCGATCGAGAGAGTCTCTAATCTTCGGACTAGTGATGCGTGCTGCCGAATCTGTAACAATATGTTTACGTTGTTTTAAGCCCATCTGAGGGAGGGTAAGGGGCTCCAAATAGAAGCCGATGAACTGGGATTGTTCGTTTAGTTAGACATGGGTTTATCGATAGGGCTCTGCGTTTGCATGTGAGTTGAAACTAGAAGCTAAACGCCTATTAAAGGGTGGTGGAGGGCTAAGGATTGGGGAGTTGTAAATGGGGGTACAAAAGGGAAGTTGGAACGGAACAATAAGCGTAAAAAGCCTGAGCTGTAGCATCCAAACCCGTCTACCCTGTTGGATGCAGTAGCTATGGCGTCGTTGATTATTCTCTGCGGTGGCCAGAGCATCAAGAAATTGTATGAGTAAAGATTCATAATATTGCATGAGCAGGATACTGTCCGGTTGCCCAGGCCTAGACTGGAAAACGAGTAGGGTTCTCAAACAAAGGCTTTCGTTCAAAAACCTGACCGCAAGGCAGCGGGTTTGGTACAGACTACAAGGACCCCGTTTTAAGGGCTTGTGACCCATAAGGCTACGGGACAGCCAAGATTTTGTGATTATCCTTTTTCGGTTGAGTAGATGCGCTCAGATTCAGTAAAACTGCTACGGTACAATAAGAGAAACACTGCCTAGTAGATTCTTCTCCTTAGAGCTTGTCGGCAGCATGCACTTAGATTCCGCATGATCCGCCTTCAAAACTACTCTGTGTGAGTCAGCAAGGAAGACACTGGGTCATAGATAATGCAGGCGGCCACAATGATGCAGTTGCACGCTACTGACGTGGGCAGCTCATCTCACGAAGACCCGGTGTCTTCCAACACAAAACGACTTTTCTGTACTGTTTCTCTTTGAACAAGAGAGCCTAATTGAATGGTCGCCTGTTATTTAATATGTTTTATATAGTCTCGAATGCTTTGCAAGGCCACTTCTCTTCCTTTGGCGTGTCTCATTGTGTGCAAACCGGCATCTTTGTATTACAACGTTTTGCCTTACATTTAGTTCATATACTTCACTTGAACTTTCACCCCTGGAAGACGATGAGTCGCCAGTTTCTCTTCGAATCATCATCATTCTTCTAAAGCTCGTTATACCTTATTCCGTGATTTTGTTCGTCTTGTTTTATTACCTGACTATTCTGCATTTCCATGCCCCGGTTCTGACGTACTCCATATTTTCGTGAGGAAAACACGTTGAATGCAACGATTGTGCTGCACTCACTTACGTAGCCTTACTATTTCTTAGACAATTTAATTCCCTTTAACTAAATATTTAATCGACACAATATTCTCTTTTAGGTTATCTCCTTGCGACAGCCAATCTCCTCCATCTGCAATCTGGCGCAGTTCCACGTGACTTAATTTGCTACCTGCACTCTGCCAACTTGGCCTGTTGTTGCCTCCGGATAGTTTGGCGATGCTTGGAACTAATGGGTACCAACGCTTGGTCACCAGAGCTCAGCACTCATGAACATCAAACCTATGTTGCAGAGGGTGAGTATCCAGTTTGTCATGCGATAATGATTGATGCAGCCGTCATTTCTTCAACGTTCTTGTATCTACTGACACATTGCTCACAAGCAACTGGTTTAACCGCTGTCTGGTAAACTTTCTGTATTAATTCCGTTACCGCTTTGTCCAAGAGCATATCGCTGCTCTAGTCGCCGATTACCTATTACTATTTCTGAGCCATTTTTCCTCATCCTGCTGTTGAGTCTTCCGATCTGCGGCTGATCTCTACGGTTTTCAGGCGCACCCTCGTTTCGGTGTTTGGCTCAATCAATCTTGAATGCCGCCGCGGCCAGTTTTCCACTTGAGAGGTGAGCTACTGGAATGTCTTGCTTCTTTGTAACTTGATACTGTTGTATACAATACCTATCGTAGATTATTCCAATCATCTACTCAAACTCATTCGACGACGAGGCGTTGTCCCCTCCTGTTCTTTAGCTGCCCTAATGGGACGCAGCTCAGGGATTCCGATAACGCGCAATTCTCGGCCAAACGCGACTGGTATGCCATCGAGTTGCTTCCGCACTACCAACACATCCTGTCTTGGACGTGGAACGCTTTGAGGGTAACCCTTTTTGTTTTCGGAATTATTATTCATATCCTGTCGGCCATGTGATTTCGCTTGCTCACAGGTCGCCAGACTCTTAGACTTCGTATATACTCCATTATTTTCGTGATCAAAGAAATTGCTGCTATTTTGATCCCTAGCCCTTCGTTTTTTCTTAAATTTTTTACTCATCATGATGTTGAACATATGTCGCGGATTCCGAAGAGATCCATTTTCGACTACCATCATCAACAGCATGAAATCAGCCATTTGAACTGATGCTTCGCTGTGGCACACCCACAAGGACTTGCGGAACGAAAAATAATATACGGGAGATAAAGAGACTTACTGTATAACCTTAGTACCCTAAGCGAACATTCAGAGTCAAGGCGCCTATACATTGTCAACAACATACCGTCACAAACAGCAGGCTATCATGTAAGGATAAGGCCGCATCTGCGAGACGACTTTTGTGGCTTTCACTGCCCCGCGTCATAATAAGCCATTACTCTGCAGATAACTCAACACTAAACACACTTTAAACAGGCAATCCGACTAGGAGAGGGCAGCAAGCGCGCCATTGGTGCCGACTGCGAGCCATGTCCTGTAACGTCTCGAGCTAAGCACACGGCGGGTCACGTAGATTCCAGCCCGAAGGCGAGAAGAACCAACGGCACCGAGTTTGGTCGTCAGAGAATTCATTTTTCACTGCCAAGTTAATTTTTGCCCACCTCGGGACTTGTGCTATTGTACATCTGGCAAACGAAACAAGGCCGTTATCGGTAAGCGGTGACCGGTCATGTGTAGTATGTGCCCCTACATACCCAACCTATTCAGTGCTCTCTGTTGTTCTAAGGAACTAGCTTGGTTGTCACTGCGTAGTACTCGCCTACGCATATCATCGTTGCTGACACGGTGGCGTCACCCGACACCAGCAATGCTCAGCAGACGACGATGATCAAAGACATGAAGGCGCCTGAGATCCTCACATCGAAGGGGCCAAGGTCCAATACCATTTAGTAGGATGGCCCTCACTGTGGCCTTGTAAACACGGATTTACAAATGAAATAAAATCCCTTTCTGTCGCCAAAGATGTCCCAACTTCAAAAGGGCAGTTCTGGCTTTTGCAATACTTGAAATGACTCCAGTTGCTGTGCGCCCATCGTTGGCGATACAGTTACCAAGGTCAGTAACTACCTCGAGTTTCTCGCTATCAAATGTTATCAAGTGGCTTGTTTTCTTGTAACAACGCTTTGCACCTTAAAGATGCGGCGCGCATACCAAATGATGGAACTACCATACAGAGGTTATTCAGGGTTGATATGTCGCCCTAACATCGTTAAAAAACAGGCCAATATCGTCCGCATAATCAAGATCAACCAGCTTTTCACCAGACAGCACCTAAACGCCTGCATCGTGAGGCCCCGGTAGGGAACACACCATGATGCAGTTCACGACAAAGTAAAACCGAATGGGGAAATTAGACAGCCCTGGAGAACGTCACTTGTTGTCGGAAAGCTATCTGATGAGTCACCGTAGGCCCTTTACCGGATTGTGGCTGATCTATGGAACTTGTGAGCTGCTGGGATGAATACATACTAATTTTTTGTCGGTTTGCGCACGTCATTTTGCAGTTTTAAAGAGTTCAGTCAGACTTGTGCACATTGCTTCCACTGCGACCGGGTTTGCGCCATTGCTTCCAGTGTTGTGAGTCATTGGCATTCTTCATCTTTGGGTCCCCAGCCAGGGAGTCGAACGGAGCCAGCGATGGCCAGCCAAGATGTCATTGATTTTATGCATTGTCGCTAGATAGACGGTTGACCTCCACGCGGCCTTTTGTAAAGTAAACCTGCGTGCGCATACAGAGCGCGGCATAATAAACGCCCGTTAGTCATGCGCAAGAGATGGTCACACCATCTCACTTGACAAAGCCAGATGACATTTCAAGGCATCACATTCGTCTTGCCCAAGACGCGGTGTCTAACCTTATCATTGCGCACTCGATGTTTCCAACACACACGGTTAATCATCCGGAAATAGCTACTGTCAAAGGCGGAGAGACTACGCTTGCCTTCCACACGGATCCGGCAGGATTCACATCCGTATAGCAGGATCGCTCGTACACTGGCCTTGTAAACCCTGCCCTTCAGCGAGAGTGAAGGGTCGCGACGACGCCACACATGTCTTAAGATAACAAACGCTAACCGGGTTTTAGCGATTCGAAGAGATACCTCTGCTCCGATAGTGCCGTCCATTGCTCATCCTGAATCACCAGAGTAAGAAGACATCCAGAAGCAGGGGGCCAGCTGAACTGCTTTCGTAAGTTCTCTGCCCAACGAGCCATACGGCGCACCTTATTGTGATTCACTTCACTCCTGCTGCCTGATTGTCTCACTGACACCTGGTATTCCGGGATTAGCGATGTTGATCGTTTGGAAAAACTTGCAATAATTGCCTACTGCTCCCGTCTCCTCTATTTCTTGAGCCCTACTGATCCACTAGGCTTTCTGGTCAGCATGCAGGCTCTGTTTTAGTTTACGCTCAATAGTCCGTTTGGTTACATTCTGCTTAGAGCCAGCTTGGAGTTTTCTTCTGAATTCCAACAGGTTCACCGATCTCTCAGATATCCAGTGACTGATGCGGTGACGATTGATAGTGCTACAAGCAGAGGCTCCCGCATCGTGCATGGCGGCCGAGATCCTATTTCACTGTAGCTCATGGACATTAGAACGAGAGAGCGAAAGTTCTTTATGCAGGACATCCTGTTAAGCTTGTCTGTCTGCGGACTGAGATAGTTTTCCAGTTGCCATTCCAGATTGATTCTTGGTACGCATCCCGGTAAAGTTTGTGGAAAAACCACATGCAGTAAAACCTCCGTGAGTTTACCACACAACGGGCTTGGCCAAAGTGGTCAGCATATGAAGATATAAAAATGTGTTAGCTGTACGCCGTAGCTGGGCCTCACTGCCGCGCGACCACCATCAGTCGCGCGCGGGCTGCATATCGCGAGGATGCCCACTGCTACACGGATTCGAAAGTACGCATCCATATTGAACGTCCAAATAGTGCGAAATAAAACGGTCACTTCAAGAGGTCGTCAACTTCGAAAGTTTTACTGTAATACCAAGATATGATCAGAGTCGACACAAGTATTCCAAAACGGGCGACGATCCGGGATAGAATCATGTCATCTGCAACTTATGGAAACGTGTTATATTTGGGCCCGTCGCTGAACAGCCAAGTGGCATTTCAGCTCCCACTGGGTATAAAAGCGGTGCTACTAAGAAACAGCCGGTGATCTGCACACATTTGCAACAGACGCTCGCCATTCTCCATGCGCTCAGAGTTAAGTCCGTACTTACCACCTAGCTGAGCTTCTGAAGAGCTCAGGCGACCTATTTTTGCAGTCGGAGCCCCAGCGACAACAACCACATCAGAATTGGTAACACCGCGAAGGAGCGTGTTCAGTTCTAGGTATAAGTTATTCTTGACAACATCAAAGCTGCAGTCAGTGGGTGCATAGGCGGAAACCACAAACAAACAGCGTCTAGCTATACTTAGTGAAACAACCTTTGTCCATGTCGTCAAACGGGCTGTGCACAAATCTGTTCACGGTTATCCGTACAATCAACGATGATTCGGCCTTGGAGGTGTGAACAATGCCCACTCTAGGTTGACTATTGGTTACCGCATAATTGTGCAACCATTTGCGTAAAGACAAGCCAGGTGCAGTTAGTTCAACAATCCCGTGAGTCTCATTTATCCTTGTGTCGGATACACAACACGCGTCAATATCCATGGTGTCCATTGTGCATGCCAATGCAGCCAGATGACTTATTTGTCTTAGATTGCGGATGTTGAACGCCACCAGGGAAAGGGGACAGCGTGGCCTTATGAGGGAGTGTTGCTGATAGGCATCCTGTGGGTGGTGCGGAAGATAGCTGCAGATGTTTCGACTCCAGTCGCATTGCGGCTGTTGTCAGTTAAGCTGGGAATTATAGAAGGAAAGTTACTAATGGGGGTTGGAGGGGAGTAAGAGAAATAGACGGAAAAGGAAGAAGAGAGATGCCCGTAGTAGCATGTTTTCGCTCATCTATTCTGCTGTATGCAGCTGATAAGACGACTCTCGATACTCTGCGCGACGACTCATGCAGGATGTAGTTAGGGTTTGGGTAAATGGTCATGGTTGTCTGTCTGGCTGAGATAATGCCAGGGCGCCCAGACCTAGATAGGTGGAGGAGGACTAGAGTCCACAACCAAAGCCTTTGGCTCGAAAACCTGTCCGCAAGGAAACGACCGTGGCAACGATTCGGTTATACAGAAATGGACACCATGTCAATTTTCAAATCCCACTCTGGAGAAGCAGGAGACCGAGTTTATCTGACTTTTTAGATCATGCCGATACAGGCGTGTCTCCCCTTGTCGAGAATAAACGTTTATTCATTTGTTTATCTATTGGTCAACCTGGCAGGTGTAGCTTTCGATGCCCCCACCCCTTAAAGCTCAATGGGTCGAAGAGGTACGCTAACCGTTGCACCATTTTAAGGTTCAGTCTCGTTGCGACAGTTCGACTGATATCGAGGAGGGCTTAACCTTTTTCTTTAATATTATACAACCAGTGGCTCAGCTGCCTTTCAGATAATGATGCTATTCGCAGAGTCGAATATTTTGTTCCCTTACTTGGCATTGACGTTGTAGCTGAGCAATCGAGGAGTTGCTTTTAGCACTGTTTTGCTGCCACGATAGCCATTGTGATCGTTTTGTACAGTTCAGCCGACCTTTCATTCTGACCAGTGGTTCACCAGTCCAATACAGCAGTCCGGCTCAGCCACCTGCCACATCTTACTTTCATCTACAATCACTAAATTTCAACTTCTATTATCCACAAATTGTTGTACAAGTTATGATGTCCAATAATCTTGCATGTCATATGGTAGATTTGTTCTATATGATTGTCTATAACTAGACCTCTATCACGGTTTTGAAGGCTTCGTCACTGTGGGCCACGTCAAATAACGCGACGTTTGCTGTGTAGACTTGATAAACCTGTGTTACTACTGCACGTATGCCACAGGACACTCCATCATCGGCTGAACTTGAACAGCCAAACAGCACAGTGCCACCTGGAGTCGTCGCATACAAACGACTAAAACGTGTTTAAGTGAGGTCCATCGCAGCCAGTTTCCAAATCAGATAGTCGTCCACATGCCCGGAAAAGCACTAGACTGCAGTTTCAGCCTTTTTGGCATCGTCGGTAGTGCGCATTCATCGGATCCGTCAGGATTCGAACCCATGACCACCAGCAGCTTGCACCGCCAGTCAGCATCTTATGCCACTTGGCCACGGAGAAGAGCTTCGGACCGTCATGATTTGCAAGCGAAAACGTGTTTAACAGATTGTGGGATCCCATTGGTCACTGTGCTTCGTACTTGTGGCTATGGGAGAGGCACCCCTCGTGCCTACAAGTGCTCGCAGTATATGCTGTTCGACCACATTTGAACGACATGAGACTTATATCATCTATGTCATTAAAGGGTAGCACACGCTAATTCGCGGGACACCGGCCAAACTTGGCTAGGTTTCTTCAAAACCTGGAAGGTTACTATCCAATCATGTATCAAATTTGCTATCGCGCAGTTTAACGCTCAGTGATTTGTGGTGCAGCGCGGTGCGATACATAACACCTGTGACATTTAATCGACCTTGTCTTTCGGAACACAAAATGAACTACGAAACATCGAGTCTGTTCGTGGGTGGAGATGTATGCAGTGCGCGCTAAATCACTTCACCGAATATCGAGCGAGGTCGCATGGGATAAGTACTCGCGTTTTGTCAGTCAACAAGCCCAGTAGGTGAACGAACCTGGCGGGGCTTGCTAAAACCGTGACGACATGCCTTAGTTTGACTGATCTGACGAATAGACTCGGGTCTCAGATCGAATGCTAGCACCATAGTCGCTGTAGCGTTACATGGTTTTATGCAACAAACCGACTAGTTCCCATCACACTGTACCACACAAGTCGATTTCTCAACATGCAGATATGATTACCTCCTCCCTCCGTCGGTGTGACTCACCTATGCTTAGTTGCAAGTTGCCATCATGGCTATACAACAGTCCGCTTGACTCAAAGACACTTTTATGTCGAAAGCGAAATATAACATAACGCTTACTGAAATGATCTGACCATCCCATGTAACAGCTAGTGCACAAACCTGTGTCGTTACTAAGGTTAAATCGCACATCGCTTGTACAGAATTGCAATACTGGTGTGGTCGCTGGAAGTCTGACACGTCGACGTATTAGGTTTATATATACGATATATGACCAACTTTTCCGTATGCTAACAATACTAGGTCGCAATGACAGTGCATGTGTCAACCTATATTCTTACCTCCGTTTGGTCTCGCGCGCTTGATGCAACCTCGTTGATTTTGGCTGCCTTTCTTGCCAGGAACTGTCGTCCTGTTGTATATCTGCTTTACTGTGTCTCATACTAAACAAATTTGCTGCTTGCTTTGATTTGAAATAAATGAGAATATGCGTAGCTCGGGGTGTGGATGCGGATTTTGGGCGGTTCTCCGAGCTGACTGATTATTGTGTAGACGTTTCGTTGCCTGACTAGGCAACATCATCAGTGCGGTTTCAGGGGCCTGGTTCGCAGTGCCTCGTAAGTCGCTTACGAGGCACTGCGAACCAGGCCCCTGAAACCGCACTGATGATGTTGCCTCGTCAGGCAACGAAACGTCTACACAATAATCAGTCAGCTCGGAGAACCGCCCAAAATCCGCTTGCTTTGATGCACGATTACACTCCTGTTAACATTCGCTTCCCATTGATCCACTTTTTCGCCATCTTCAATTCCACACAGTTGTCCGCCGATGTATTAGCGCGTTGGGTTGTGGCTGTTCAATCACCCGCATTGGAAGTCGAGCTGGACGATGAAATCTCTGAGTTGTGCACATTCATTGGGTACCAATTGGTGCATATTTTGCTGGGTTGTCGTCATCGAGTGAGTCTCACTATGCAAGGAATCCTCACGGTTAGCACTGTTTTGTTGCCTTAAATATAGATCCAGTATTGGCTTCTGTGTACACGTTTGAAACGCCTAAATTGCTTTACTATGGTTTCATTGTCTCCACGCGACCAACTGAATGACGAAAGGCGTTGTCTTGCAATGTCGTTTCCGCTCAGTGCGTGTGCCTATCTAGACATCGTTTGCAGTTACATCGTGTCAGGAAAGTTCCAGGACCGTTGTCACAAGACTTTCCTTTCAAACCCAAACATCACATAGGTTTTTTCTTCTTCACCGTGGCCCCCTGGACTCTAATGCACTTTCCCATACTTCTCTGTCGCGCTTGCACGCATTCCTGAAAGTATTCTTCCGAGATCCTCCGCACCTCCATCGTCACGTCCTTTTTGACGGTATCCATTTCTTCAAGACAGGTACCCTTGGTGACCCCCTTGAGCTTGGGTAAGAGGAAGAATCGCACGGAGCCAGGTCGGGCGGGTAGGAGAAGTACACTACCACGGTAACGTTCATCCCGACCAGGAGCTGTCTGACGCTCAAGGTATTGTGAGCGTTGTCACGGTGAGGTGGTCACGAGTTGTCCTGCCACAACTCTTACCTCTCCTCACGCACTGAACGAAGCAGTCATTGCTGTATATCCTTGTAGACATGTTGCTTGATCGTCTGGCCTTGTGGCAAGAACTTGCAGTGGACGACTCTCCTCACACCGACGAATCTGATCAATATGACTTGATTTCAGTCCTGGTCGTTGAAGACCTGCTCTTGGGGTCACCTTCCGCATCCTCTTATCCTTCTTTAAGCGTCTTACATCACTCTGAACACGTAAGCGTGATGTCCTCTCATCTCCTTACACTAACTATAACAATCCCAATGCTTCTGGCGGAGTTTTCCACAAACGTATCAGAAACTTTAAGCTTAGCAACCTGAAACAGATGTGTAAATAGCATTTTGTTGAAAAAAACTTTGACGGCTGCAGAGAGCTAAAGTCACAGTTACTCCAGCGGCGTTACTTTGGGTTTGAAATACATATTTTGTGACACCATTCATGCAACACGTATGTCTTTTCATCTTCCTTATTCCTTTGGTTAAATGGTGTCGCCGTGTGTTGCATGTGCGATTTCTAATTTGGCTCTCTGCACCATTTTCGATGCTCGCATCTAGATGCCCAGCTCGACACCGTTGTAGTTAACCGATGCAACCTGTTATTAAGTACCTCTAGATAACCACTTTATTTAATGGTGTGCCAGTTTTAACGTTTCTATTCATGGTGCTTTTTCTTTCAACCGGATTATCTTCGTGCTTTCCTAGGGCACCGTCGAAGCGGTCTCTAGCAGCCTGCAGTTGTATCTATCGATTTCACCACTCTATTCTCCGGACGGCACCTCGGTTAAGATTTTCACAAATGCGTCCACTTCATGTTCACGTGCTCTCCTTTCGTGTGAGAAGGTTCTCAATATCTGCTGGGAGACCTTATGTAGATGTCGCTATTCCACTACTCGCCGAGCGGCTGGTCTGTGGCCTGCGGTCAAGGCCGCTCTTTACGCAGAACAATCACAACGGGGACATCGTGAGGTAAGATACTGTTAAGCTTATCGGTTGTCCTCTTTCTCTTACTTCCATCTATCAATCTTGTTTTCTAATCTATTATTTCAAGCCTCATCTCCTCATTGGTTGGATACAAAGGCTGCTAGGATTGTTCCACCTAGAACTCTGTGAAAGTCAACGACGCTTCATCTCTGATGGCCTGTGCGATCCAACGGAAGCCCTGGCACTTCACATACTTCGCGGGATATTTCTGGACTCTCATCTCAAACCGCACTCGCTGTTAGTGCTAGGCAACCCGTCAAGTAACTTCCTTATCCAGGCGCTCCAGCAAGCCGTACTGCCATTGTTCAACGTTCCCTATTGGACTGTGTCAAATGCCGCGTTACAGTTGCACGGTTAGCACTGTTCACTTTGTTACTTTCACCCACGGTTTATCTTAGCATGTCTGCAGATTTTTCCCGTTGTTCAATGTTACCGCGTATCCCAAGCTTACATTTCACATCACACTCAGTGTTCAGCTGAACTTGCACTGCCGGAAAAGTGGGTTGTGCATTACCTCGAAATGCGCACACAGTTGAGCTGAAATTCCATTATTGGTCTCTGCGTATACCTAACTCTGTACGTTTCTTCAACGACTGCCTCACAGTTGGCGGTTTAATTCATGTCTGATGGGAACAGCACGTGAGCAATGAGCGTGTTCGACGTAATCTATTTGGTGCATGAAGAGCGAGTGAACCTCTCATAACCGTTATTTCGCATACCAGGCTCCGATGGCCTGCCTGCGTGTTGCGCATGCCAAAACAACGACATCCGCGTCATGCGTTCTTTGAGTGCCCGCGGCGTGGATGAAAGAATAGGAGGGGTGGCCAAGCGATGACTTGGTCACAAACTGAACGAGCTCTTTCGTTAAGGAAAAGTACGGACATCGTATTGCTTGCTGGTGATTTGAACATCCACTTCGTAAAACTGTCCACTGATGACCTGCATCTGGGCGGTCAACGTGGTGTGGACTCCCGTATTCAGCGATTACTTCATTTATGTGAAGCTGCTTGCTTATTTCTTGCGATCACTAACTTCGGACACAGCACTCGTCGGAAGGTGACATGGCGCCCACCAGCCTTGGACGCAAATTGACCACTCGGGGTCAGTTATCGCTGGAGAGACTGCGTCAAGAACTGTCTCTCGATTCGGAGCACATGTGTAGACACTGACCATGAACTTGTATGTGCTGCTCTGCAGGTGCGTTTTGGCAGACGCACACGACGATCGGGTGAGCGAATTGACACCAGCCAACTGGCGAACAGAGCTGTTCTGTATACGTATCGAGTAAGCTGAGTAAGCGCTCAATGAATACAATCGAAGTTCACTGGTCGCATGTTCACCAGACCATACTAGCAGCAAGCAAATCCTCATGTGGTAAGTCTGCTGGTCAATATGAACATTAGATCTCTCCGCGGTCTCTGGAACGTTTCGATGCTCACCGGTGCATTCCGGCTGGAAGCGAACACAGTGCGATTACTGATTACTGGTTAGAAGCAGCAAGTAGAGTTTGCTCTGTGTGGCTGCATCTAATGTCACTCAGGGACAAAGACCCGTTATGTTGCGTTGCGCTCAATATATTTTGCGTCGGCAAAGTGTTTGTCCAGGAACTTCTTAAATTCCGACACCGACTTTGCCTCAACTACGTGCTGCGGCAGACCGTTCCATACATTCACCACTCTGCGTTCGAAACAGTGTTAGTGAGCGACCTTCTTCAAATCCGATACAAGTTTGTACCGGTGTCCTCGTGTGCTGCTTGATGTGCGCAGATGAAGCAGCGGTCTCAACGTGGGGTAATCTCCCAAATGTTATATCCGGTGCGTCATGATGAGGTCAGCTCGCATTCGACGATAAGCTAGGGTGTACAACCCTAGTTGATTACACCGGTTTTCGTACGACAAACCTCTTTAAGTTGGGAATCAGCCTGGTGGCTACATGCTTCACTCGCTCAATCTTTTCTACCTCTCCCCGGGTGATAGCACAATACGCGGGAGAGCCATACTCTAGTATTGCTCGTGTTATTGAGACGAAGAGGCGAGTGCTAATCTTTTTGGACCAAGTGCTGAAGCTGCGCCTGAGTGCCCAAAACATACGAAGGCTGTTTTTTATAGCCTATTTATGTTGTCCCTAGACTTTAGGTCGTAGCGTGAGAGCACACTGAGGTCACGCACGAAAGGCGCGTGATGCAACGGCTGACCAGCCACCGTGTACGTTCGACTGTGCTCACACTTACCCAGCCTCATGAGTTCCGACTTGACCGGGTTGGTCGGAAGATTGACCTCTGTAGACCACATGGAGAGGCGGTCGAGGTCCTGCTGAAGCAGGTCACAGTCATTGGGTGTGCGGATTACTCCCCACATCTTCATGTCATCTGCGAACAACACACAAGGTAATTGGAGTAGCTGAGGCACATCGTTTACATGGATAAGAAACAAAATCGGCCCCAGTACAGTGCCTTGGGGCACGCCACTGCTCGATGGATACCAGTCGGTTAAATGGTTGTCCACCTGGACCCTCTACTTTCGATCAACAAGGAAATTCCTGATCCATTGGTGCAGCGAGCCACCAACAGCCTGTCGAGGAGCACTGCACGATTTACCTTGTCAAAAGCCTTACTGAAGTCAATGTAAATGACGTCGACCGATTTGCCTTGGTTCAGCGCTTGTAACCATTCGTGCCTCGTCAACAGTAGGTGATGCAGGAGCGACCTTTCACGAAACCATGCTGTGCGGGCGTCAAGTGGTTTTTCAACTCGAGAAGCTGCAGAAGGCTCTTCTTCACGATCTTTTCGAGCATCTTTGTCAAAACAGCGGTCAGGCAGATCGGCCGGTAGTTATCCACCTTGCTTGGGTTACCATCTTTCGGTCTTGACTATACGACTGAGCATCTCCAGCCGCCCGGTAATATTCCAGTGGATAGTGACCTGTTGAACAGAAGGCGAGATAATTTCCGATAGGTACTTGAGTATCACTGGGTGGATTCCAGCTGGCCCAGCAGGCTTCGTCCCGGCAATACTTGCTAGAAACTTGCGTACATCTTCAATGCTGCAGTCTAGGCTGTCTAGTTCAGCGTGAGCGATACTCGTCGAACTCGTTACAGACTCACAAAAACCTCTGGGCAAAACTCCGTGTTATCCTGAAGAGAAACCGCGAATTCTGGTCGTCTCGTCGTGCATCAGAGATGGAAGTGGCAACTGCCTTTTGTAACCATCGGAAGTCATTCCGTTTGTTACGAGAAACGTGCAGCAGGAGACCTCGTGTTGGTGTAACTATACGTGACGGGAGTGGACAGCCTGTCCACAACTTGTCAAAGCGCTTAGAGCATTGGGCTGAGCACTTCGAAAAGCCATTTGTTCCGCCGGAATTGTAGATTTTTCACCAACCAATGATCGCTCTGGTCCCCGGGCCTGTCCCTTTGGGCTCTTTGTTCTCCGAAACGATGTCCGTTCGTTACTGGTTAGTCAGCCAGCATGCCCCTGTTTCATGTTTTTTTTTCTTTTGTATTGCGGCACAATAGCTAAGGTGTTCTCCATCTGTAGCTAACGTGTATAATGTTGTTGGTGCTAACACTTGGTGCAACCGGACAAGCTTGGGATGCGGAACGAATGGCGGAATTCCACACCCTAGTTACTGGTCGGCTTTAGGCTGTCAAATAATTGCTTTTGTGCACATAATGCTGGCTTATAGCAGCAGTGTCAGCAAACTGAACGTGACCCGAGACCAATAGGTGTTTGTATATAGAGGAAGCTGGCGGCCTACGCGTGCACATAATATGGGTAAGGTAGGAACTCTGTGCAACTTCCCACTGAACCCAACTGGGCACCTTTTCCTTTACTCAAGAATTCAGTGTCCTATCAGTTCTGCCTATGTAGCTGTCGCCGCAGTCACGCACAAATTTATAGGCACAGTGTAAGTCCGACCCGATAGACTGAGCTTCCTTCGCTGGAGGTATGGGCAAATTTCTAGTTTTGTTCATGACGACAACTTGTGCAGCATGGTAACTTCCTTGAGTAATCGAAGTTGTCTTCAGCGCGGTTAAATCACTTTTGATAGGCGACTTGACATACACATTCTTCTTGATTGTCGTGTGCTCCAATTCCTTCGGCCGTCGCAGTTGGCTGTGTTTCTTGTTGACTCTTCGAGGGTAGTCGTTCGCCATATGTGTTGCTGTACTTAACACAAAATAATCGTCCTGACAGTCGACCGAACAAATTCGTTTGCCAGGACCAGCTTGAGTCTTCACGACTGTACCTTTGTACCACACTGGTGTGAAGCTGGTGAAGTGCAAGTACTGACCGGACCAAGTTGATTTTCCGTAAACGGACCTCTTAGTTGATTCATCATCCCTGCGACTGATGAGGATGTCCATATATGGTGACCCGTAAGTTGGCGTGCGCATCGTCGAAGCGTTCTACCAATTGTGCGAGCTGCTGCCCCGACGAACAAAAGGCCAACATATCGTCAGCACCGTTTGTAGTAGGGTACCTGGGTTATTTTCGTAGGTGAACTTCCACTATTCCTTCCGCACCTCAAGCTTGTCTGGTTGCACCCAGTGTTAGCTATATCTATGCTTCTCAGTTATTACTAACGGTACTGAGGAGACAATACGAAGCGCACGCATCTACCAGCTTTCATCTTCTTTCCGTGCTTTTCAACTTGTTTTGGGAATCTAACATTTTAACTTTTTGTATTTTTTTATTCTGTAATGTTTAGTATCTCACTTTCTCGTGTCTCTTACTTTCAGCTAGCCTGTAATGATGATGATGCATTGCAACCCATTAGTTTCAGGATGGTGGCAAGCTGCAACCACTGGGAATGCATTCGAGTCCGAAATTCCTCGGTTCGACGAGTTATAATAGCTTTGCATTACCCTGGTCGCCTTGGCTTAGACACGAAGTTGCACGTGACACCGAGTCCAGTTCCTATCCATGCACGTATTCACCTAACGACTGTCCTCGAAACCAGACAAACAATGCGCATTCGGCCGAGTGACTATACCATTTTACACGCATGTTAGCGCAGTGCAGTGCTTTCAAGTTAGCGAGGCTAAGAACGCTGTTTTGACGTCGTTGACACTCTCATTGGTCATGGGACGTTAGCCAATGAGACACCAGTTGGAAGCCCTCGGCATAAGCGACAGACAGTCCAATGAAAGTGGTCGAGCACCACCTTCTGTTCCATTTTGATGCATATGTGAAGCAAACCTAGCTAACGTGAAAGCACTGCACGCGATTTCGAATATGTGCCACGCTAAAAGCTTGGTACAATGCGCTAACATGCGTGTAAAATTGTCTAGACGCGCTTACGAAACCGACCGATGCACGCTCACGTGACCATGCGAGTCACAACCAGCCCACAGAGAGGACAAAAGATGAAACGGACCTTTGAGAGCTCTTCTACGACACGCCATGGCCGAACACAGTTGGCACAGCCGTTCATTTTGTGAGAGAAATGAAGCATCACATCGGGTATGTGGTTTACGAAAGCCATTGTTCACTTTGGTACGGTTGTGGACTGGCTTGTATTAGCTGGAGACTACTGCATCATGTGTAGGAAATGGACTCCGCGTGGCGCAACCCGCGTATTGGGGTTCGCAGCGCAGTTGCCATTTTTGCGGTATTACTTGACGTTCCCGCAACACGTGTCACCGTCTTTTTTGGGCTTTCAGCAGCCTGATGGACTGTGCTAGCGGAACGACATTTTCTAGATATTTACGACGGCACTAGTGATGAGAACTACCACTGCGTATGTAGGTAACTGGGATACTTGGGTTGATGCTATCGTTTGGCAACACTCGCCATCGTTGAAGCTGGTAAAGCGCCTTGAACGGTCTGTTTAATCACCCTTTTTCATCCCTCACTTTGGTATTCACCTCATCCATCTAGGGCTACATAATCATATTTCTTCTTGGGTTCTGTGTACTTCTCCATGTCCATTGAGTTCTCCACGCCAAGCCAAATCCCCTAAGACTACATTATTAGTTATTTTCATCATTGCTCATTCGCATACGTGCGGGCTGCTTTCAGTGAAATTGGCTTTCTACCGAGCGATCTACCTACTCCGGTTTCAGCCCCTGTGTGTGGCCTGATAAATAGGTTAACGTGAGGAGCCATGCGCTTCGGCGCATGTTTCGCGCCTTCAAAGGGTGTAATACTGTTACATGACTGTGCTGGCATCCCTTCCCTTAGCACCAAATAACCACGGACAATAATGGATCGATTCGCTTGTGTTGCCAATTGTACTATCCTTGGTTGGTAAGTCACTCAAGCTGTTGCTGTGGTCGGCAGGGCTTTGCAGCTTTGCAGTCATACTCACTTATGTGGAACATGGGACACAGGGCAGTTGGTCAAAATCTAGCATGCGATGGTAGAGGAGTAAGTTTCTGAATACACAAAATGTTTCATTTATTACAACAAAATAAGTGTTGCATTTTCCCGAAGTACTGTTCAGCAAAGTTTATGCACATTTCCATACGCCCAAACCATTTGGAGACGCACCTAGACCATCCCGAGGCAAATAACTCTTCAAGCAGCTCAATAAGGGCCTCTACTGCAGCTGCTGGAGACTCGTGGTGGATTCCACACACCATGCGCTTGACATTTGGGAACACAAAACAAGTCACACGGAGCCAGGTCTGGACTGTAGGGTGGGTGACCAATCTCCTGGATCCGTTCTCTAGCCAGAAAATCTACGGCGACATGCGACCTATGTGCAGGTGCGTTGTCATGTTGCAACAAGGTTCCATTTATTCGAGTCCTTGGATAACACTTGGATACAGCTTCCAGCACTTGTGGCAAACAGTTGGTAGCATTCCTATCTCCGGTAACTGTGCGTTGCTGTACGAACGGTAAAGTAGCCACATGACCAGCCTTGGTCACAAACACAGTCGCTATGTGCTTAGCCGCACTGCGCTCAAGCCGGAATTTCTGAGGCGGTGCCCCACTAATGGCCATCCACTGAGCCGATTGTTGCTTGGTCTCTGGGTCGAAACTGTACACCCAGGCCTCATCACTACAGAGCATCTCCCAAACAGCATTTGAACATCCACCATCAAACCTGGCAACCATGGTGCGGCACCAACCCACCCGAACTGCTTTGTGGTCCTCACCGAGCTGATGTAGTACCCAGCGCGCGCAAACCTTTTTAAGGCCGAGATTCTCATGTAGCATGGTGTGGATTGATCCCGATGAGATCCCGATGGCTTTCCTCAGCTGTACTACAGTCACCAGTACGTCCTCCTCCAGCACCGCTTGCACAGCAGCCATGTTGTACGCGGTGGTGGCCACCATAGGTCGACCACACCATGTTTTATCATCTAGGGACCGCCTGCCACGCTTGAATTCCGCAAACCACTCAAACACCGTGGTACTTGAGGGTGCATCGTCACCAAACGCAGCACGCAATCGCTCAGCACTCTGGTGCTGCTTTAAACTACATTTGTAGCCAGAGCAAATCATCGCCGTTATGTGCCATCAACTGAGTTCCATTTTTACAGCCGGAGTATAGCGACCGTTATGACTTGTGAGCTGTGCTGGGCTGCTGATACAGGGTCTTGTGGTTTGAAATCACTGAACATTGTTCAGAATGGATTGCAGTTCACATTTTTCTTGCCAAATCATCTACACCTAATTTGAGTACTGCATATCCGGAAACATGTTTCTCTGCACTCTTACAACGATGAAGTGTAACGACGGCAGCACTTTGAAGGCATGGAATGACTTCTTAGTTTCGATAACCAGTGAGAGCCCAAATATCATATGTCTAATTGTTAGCTGGCTGACAGTTGACTACAGACTATCTGTAAAAGTGGTTTAACTGCGTACCACTTATACCCACAAGTTTTTTGTTCAGGTCTCTGATGTTTGCCAACAGTATACCCCGTTGAGAGACCGCAGTGTGACCGTAGCCACTTTACGCAGACTGAATCCTTTTGCTACATAGCCTCTTCTGCTATAGAGCGACTGGGATCGACCGCACCAGCGGCTTCCCAACCGCAGCTTCGCAGGATTGACGCTGCACTTTCATTTAATCCATTGTTTCGGTTCTCCGTCTCTTCATTCTTTTCTCAATGGCTTCCTTTCTCTTGTTTTGTCTTCCCCTTTCCCACATCAGCACATTTGCCTTCACTGTAAATAGGAAAGGCATAAGCAGTGTACCACACCAACGCATCGGTGCCAAGTGACCACAATCGGTTGCGCGCGGGCTGCGGATACTGTGAATTCTCCCGCATCTACGCCGATTCGAACCTGTGACCTTTGGATTACTAGGCAGACGCTTTGTGCCAATCAACCACTGGCGACGCGAGTGAGAGCAACTGAATCCAGCAATCTTCTTCACTCAAGCAATTGAACTCGTGCTAACACTTGCATCTAATAACTAATACCAACCAGTTAACCGCTCATGCGCTTCTCCCATAGTATCGGTTTCTAGTGCGGCCTCACACAAACGTGGGCCATCGCCATGAACAAGCTGAGCAAATCCGTAACTCTGTTTACATCGCTTTAGCGCAGGAAACAGGTCACTGTGACATGCTGATTACCGCCCACAATTTGAGTCTATGTTCTCTCCCATATTTTATCAATTACTTTTTAGTTCTCAGTTGCATTGATGCATTACCATCGTTTTCGTCTGCTGCTGTATGCTTTCGTCTAGCTGCTCTGGTACTTCGCCTGACTGGGACGGATACAGGTCGCCCACTACTTTCCGCAATGGAGCTATTTGGCCGTTTTGATGATTTGTTTGCAATTTGCCTCCATTGTCTAGAAGAAGCAATATGCCAACACAACCGGCCTTCGGTTACTCCCACACTGGTTTCAGTTTTAAGCCTACTCGCTCGATTGAGTCAGGGAGTCATGCATGTGTAAGTATTATTCTCTCTTCACAACTGCACTTAGTACAATTGACCCATTTTCTTGATTCCTCGTTATCTGTCGCCTGTTTGGTAAGCTTTATCTTTTTTTCTGTGCGATGTGTCTCAAAAGTCGAGTTCACTCGACGCAGGCTGCTATTGTCACGTGCTTTCCAGGTGAGACGCCCAACTTCCATCTCATAGTGGCGCAGTCAGTTAGTACAGTTCAATTATTCCGAGCAGCGAAGTGCGGGGGATCCACGACTCACATCGCAAGAAAAGCAATAAATAACCATTACAGGACAGTGCGGTTGGATGCTAATGGACCGTAGAGAAAATGAAAGCAGTAAGGAGGTGCGTTAGACTAAACAAAATAGAACGAAAGTTAACCAGATGCAACAAACCGAATGCAGGAACGCCACTGAATTGGCGATCAGGCCATGTGTGAAAGGGTCTCCAACCATTGGGTTGGACCATTCCGAGGTCCCCATCCAGGAAGACGGCACGCACCGGCCTGACGAATTCTCAGTTAATTTCTTCAGGCTTATATATCACGTTATGCAGCGGCGGCGTTCGACGCACGCAGAGGGCCGTTCACGGGCCTACGGAGGAAATGACCTGACCAACTTAAGCGGTTGCGTTTAAGCAAGCACTCGAATGAGGCTCCACAAGGCTTCTTGCCAAAAGCCAACTGGTGGACCTCAGCATTGCTCACTCGGTGTTCCCACCAGACGTGAGCAATACCCCGCAAGCACTGGTGCTCAAACACGGCTAAGCGTTTAATGTGTTCACTGAAAACAGCCCAGGCCTCTGATCCACACAGTAACGCCGACCTTAACGCAGCGCTGTACACCCTACTTCTCACTGATAGTCTGTGTTACGGGAGTCCGTCTATTGCAGCCCTCGAAGCCAGCTGTCTCTCTGAAGCAGCCTGGAGAAGATTAGTCGCACGCCGCCTGAAGCTGATTGGCTGACCAATGGGAGTAAGCCAATGACATCGTTTTACCTTGAAGTGGATCGATGAGAATGGTCTGCCTTGAAACCGTCCATTAAACGCAGTCCTTGAACAGCACAAAAGCGAGCTTTTGCTCATCTACTAGTTGCTATATTTAGGAACATTCATTTAGGTCATCCTCTCATGAACTATTTATTTTGCCTGTACATACTGTCTTCCGGGTGTTCCATACAATTTCCGCCAAAGTCCCCTGCCTTCTGATTTGGGAGGTGGCTGTATCGGTTATCCGTACTGTCAGCGGAACCACAACAGTCTGATATTCCGTCGTCTCCATAAATGTTTGAGTCTTTGGAAAGCTACACGGGCCTTGCTGAGGCGTGATGTGACCACCGGAGGTAGTACAGCTGCCAAAGTAAGTGAACCGAACCACCACTTCCATTGCTTGTTCGGTAATAGTTAAAACCGGAGGTGTGTCGGTCCAGTCCTGCAACAGTGCCATGCACTTTGAAGGTGCAGAGTTCACGCCAAAGTGTGCAGTGCCACGCGTAATCCGAGCTTGTCATTCGGTCACCTGATAAAACTTTCACTCCGGTAGAGTTTGAAAAAAACCGATTCATTCATGGTCATTTCGACCAACAAGTTAAAGAGAAAAAGAGCTATGGGACAACCCCGATGGACTCCATTTGTCGTGGGGAATTCAGGAGACAGCTTCCCGTGAACCCTTACTTGGCCTCGGAGGTCACAGTAGTGAGACTTCGGATTGGGGAGGCCTTTAGCTGGCACGCCTTTCATGGGTGATAAGTTATGTCACAAGCTGGGGCGATAAAGTGTCGAAGGCGGCTTTCAAGTCAAGGAAAACCACCAGTCAGACGTCTTTAGGGATATCTCTGCACTAACGCAACTAGGGAAAAACCAACCGGAGGCTGCTAACCGCATGCGATGAGGCTGAACTTTCTCGTGATGCGGTGGTTTTCGCGTCCTCACAAACGAAAGAGTTGTGCTAGGTGGCGCTTCTTGCATGTATAGAGAATTCATAGTAACAACCTTGCTTAACATTGTCAAAAGAGATGCACGCAGACGGCTGGTCACGTGAATCCAATCAACCGTCTATGACTCGGCCTTAGAGCTGAGGACGATAATGGCTCCAGTTTGATCTATGGTCGTTGCATTAGTATACCCGACTGCGTATAATCCGAGGCGAAAGGGCAATCCGGGCGCATTATAACAACTGCGTGCCACTGATGTCTGTTGCGGGCGACGATATCAATTATTTACAACCACTGGGAGTCAGAATCGGGTGGTACCCATTCTGTAACTGGAACCGATTCGACGGGTTTTCCTTATCCACATCATTGGTTGTCCATCGCAACACGTTCTCCAGTCGCTTCCGAGGATAACAAATAACGCTCGATGAAGTAAACGGTAGACTGGAAATTTGTGGAAAATGTAAGCCGTGCTCTTCGCCTCCAGGAAAAACGTAACACAGAAGCTCCATCGGCCAGCTAGAGAGGGCACAAGCGGCATGTGGTCGGAAACTAGGACAACACACCGAGTGAAGCACCGCGTGTGAAAGCACGGTATGTTTGGAACCGTTGCAAAAAACACGGTCAACCGAAATGATGAGGAGGGTGCAAAATTTTCGTCAGTCTGAGCCAGTCAACTTGGTGAAACTCGTGAATAACGCGTGGTAGACAAGCCGTGCGAATTTGTTGAACCCAGAAAGAGTGCATATATCGGTGGCCATTGAAGACAAGGTTCAATTGAAAAATCCCATTGATTGATCAGAAGTCTGTGTAAGCGAACATATGCATACAGACCCAACCGGTCGTCAGTCAGCCAAATTGATTCTAATGCGCTGTGACAAACCGTCGGTTAGGTTCCAGTTGTAGTCGTACACGCCTATAGGTCAACTGCAGTCCGTCCTGGCCAAGGTAGGCTCAACGCGTGCGTGAACTTTTCTGCATGCATGGTGCTGGTTCGTACAGCCGAATGGCGATGGCTTCTGCGGCGTCTAATATCCGCTTACGGAAATACTTTGATCGATTTTCTGGGGCCTGATAGATTACTTTGAACGAATCAACCGGCTTGGTGGCGTGACCCGTATCCGCAAGATGCGTGGCGATGGCAGCGTTGGTGACCTTTTGGCCTCCATTTCCGAGCCAGGCCGGATGGTGTTCCCTCACCCTTTCGGATAAGCGTCTTGTCGTACGACCAACGTAGCCTGCTCCACAGGAACAGGTAAAGGAGTAAACACATTGATTTGGTGTGGACAGGCAGCTTATCCTTGAGGTTTAGTCTCACCATTGGGCTGCTGGTGAACCGGATTTGCAGCCTCGCCGCTGGGAAGGTATTCCTGAGTGTGGACGAGAGACGGCGGGATAGATTTTCTGATACTGTTTCCCCTTTGTAAGACAGTTGTAGGAAACTAGCTTTCCGTTCCGCCTTCAGGACCATAGGTGCCTCCCTGTTTCGCCCCATATTGGCATTAATGAAATTCTCTGGGTAGCCATTCTCTTTAAGCGTCGATCGTATTAGCTGCAACTCTTCGAGAAGAGTATCTTTCGAGCAGATTCTTTCAGCCCGGTTCACGAGACTGAGAACCAAGTTTCTCTTAATCCGAAGCGGCACAAATTTATGAAAGTTTGTGTACTGTCCATCCCAAGTGCACTTTCGGTAAGCGCTACGTTTTACTGCACCACCATCAAATCTTTGTAGAGCTACATCGAGAAAATGAAAAGCGCCGTTGTCTTCTACCACGTAGGTGAATTGTATAGCCTTGTGAGCCTGGTTAACTACGCTGGTGAGCTTCTCGATGTCACCGGAGGTGTCAAGTAGGACGAAGATGTCATCTCCGTAACGGTGGTATAACGTGAGGCTACTAGTGCTATGGCTCGCGTACTCCCGTGAGCCATTGATTTACAGTAACTGTAAAATTCCCATTTCGTTATCAAGGGCAAAAGACGGAAGGTAGACAATTGTTTTCGATGATTCATCTTCAGACCCGTACAATCATATGAGTGAAATAGAAATGGGCGTAAAAGTGGATTAACGATCAGTTCAAATGAGCTTGATCACGTGCCGACCAAAGGCATGAACCAGTAACAAACAGCAAACTAGGACAGAGGTGCAGTTGCACAATTGCAATTGCTCTCAGAAGGATTCGTTTTGGCTGGCCAAGGTAGCTTAACAGCTTCGATCAGCTTCTTTTGTGCACACAAAAGCGGTTGATATAACCGAATGCTGATCGCCTCGGCAGTAGCAAGGGTGCGGAGGCGCAGGCCTTTCGACTGGAGTGGAGGGACCCTGTATCGTATTCGAAAGGCACTGACTGAGTCAACCGCATGCCCACTGTCAGCAACATGAGCCATATGGTTGGCGGCGTCCGGTTTCGGATTTGCCTGTCACTGTGGCCAGCTACAGGACGCCTGCGCCTACATGAGCCATAACAGAGCTAGTTATAGTCCCAGTAACGCCTCGACACAACCAGCGTGGTAGGTGCTCCTTAATGCGCTTCGACAGTTGCCACGCCGTTCGACCGATGTAAGTAGCGCCACAGGCGCACTCGAACTGATAAATTACCATAGAAGCGGTCAGCGTCGGTAACTTGTCTTTGTTGTGAATAAGAATGAGTGGCTCCGTTGAAAAGGTACACCTAAGCTTGGCTGCTGGGAAAGTTGACTTGACAGCTGTTGAAAGGCTTCTAGTTACATGCTCAGCAGCGACGTCTCCCTTAAAGGGTAGTCGTATGAAAAGTTCTTTTTTCTCTGCTGTCTGAACCTGCAACTGGTCGGGCTTATTTTGCATGTTCCTAAAAATAAAACGATCAGGATATCCGTTTTTGCGCAGCAAATTCTGAGTGAACGTCAACTCATTATCCAACTTGTCTTCAGAACAAATCCTGCGGGCCCTTGTGGTTAGACAGCGAATTAGGTTTCGCTTATATTTCAACGGAACGAAACTGTGAAAGTTCGTATACTGGCCACTCCAGGTTTTCTTCCTGTAGACCTGCCGTTGGATCGAGCTGTCTGCCCTACTAGTTAACAGCACATCAAAAAAC